TGTTGTGAGGCTCAAAATAAGAAAATGGGCATAGAGCACTTTAAACCTTAAAACGCCATATAAATGCCAGTTATCATTATTATTGTTGTTAGCTTACAGTCACCAGGCCTCCTATCTGGTGATGACTTCATTCCCTGAGTCTTCTATTGTACTGAGCTCAAATAATGTTTATAGAACAATATTTGTGTACTTCATTGTTTCTGACTTTTCATGACCTCATTTGAGGTTTTTCTGGCAAAGATACTGGAGTGGTTTGCCATGTCCTTCTCCAGCTCACTTTACAGATGAGGAAACTGAGGCAAACAAGGTTAAGTGACTTGCCCAGGGTCACACAGCTAGGAAGTATCTGAAGTCAGATTTGAACTCAGGTCCTCCTGACTCCAGAGTCAGTGCTCTGTTCACTGCATCACCTAGCAATCACCATAGAACAACATAGGGTGCTGGTGGTTTTTGTTGTTTGTCCTTTCTTCTCGAGGAGGACCATGACATCAGGGAGGTGATACCATGACATGCAAGTGAATCAGATTTAAGCGAGGGAAAGCTGTGCAAAGTCACCAGCTTCACTTTCTCCTCCAGAGCCATCTGGGTCCAGTGGACAGATTAGGACAGCTAGAGATGGCTCAGGATGCAGTAGGGACCATGGTCTTTTCAAGCTAAGGTCTTTAACAGATCTCGTAAATGTTTAACAACTGTACTGGGAGGGTGGACGGGGGATGGGGGAGTATAGAAGACACACTTTTTTCTGCTTTCTTTTTTTTTTTTGAAAAAATGTATTTTTATTTATTTCATTGAGTATTTCCCAATTATATGTAATTTTTTTAAACTATCTTTTTTTTTTAAATTTGAGTTCTAAGTTTGAGGACACACTTTTAAGTTTAATATGCATTATTGACATTCTCTCCATTACTTTCTTAAGTCTAGAGTGACCATCAACAAAACAATAACTCAAGTCCTGATTTGTAATGATTGACAATTTCTGATATGTAAATACTTACACTGAAAATTTAACAATGGGCTCTGGGCAATCAGTTTGAACTGGCTCTAGCACCCCCCTGTTTGCCCATGTTGCAGTGGGCTAGAAGTGCTGAGTAAATTCTAAGCTCTTACTTTTATCCCTGGAAAGGGTCAGACCAGAGGAGCTAGTTTTCTTGAGCTCTGCCTCTGTCTGCCAAGCATTGTCTAGGGATGTGTGGATTTGTGGATTTACTCAATTAGAAATTAGCTTTGATTTTTCCACCCACTTGCCAACCCCATCCTTATTTGAATTTGTTTATTTTGGTGAGTGCTAGTCATTGTCATAATGGCTTCTGTTTCTCTTGAAAGTATAAGTCCATGATAGAACACTGCATACAGCATTATGCTCTTGGCATAGAATTAATAAATAAACTCTACTTATTAACAAGATAACACAAGTTAGAGTAATAAAATAAACATCCCTGGAATGACCTTGAACTCATTGCTCTTCCAGAGCCTGGAAGTCTCCAGACATAGGATTGGTCTTTTAGAACCTACACAATTTGAGCCCTGCCTTGAGCAGGCAAATGAGTGTAACTCATAGGAGGTCTAACTTAGACTTCCCATAAGCCTGATCATTAGTCTTAGACGCAGGAAATCTGGTTTCAGTCTTGACTAACTCACAACATGGGAACTACAATGAAGCATCTGGTTAGAACTGGAACTCAGCAGGGTCTGGTTGATGTCAGGGACTTCTGACCCAATCAGGCCATAGATAACCCATCAAAAATCAGAGTTAGTGGAATGGAAGCCAGGGTTTGCAAGGAACAATACTGTTATTGTCCTTGCATCCCTTTCCCCTCAAAAATTTCATCATTCTCTCTGCTATTGGTATGTTTCCTCTTTTTCTCTTCTCACATCCTCTCACCAGCCTCAGCCCTAAATCCCCATTGTTCCATATGCAGGATGTCAGATTGAGAAAGGCACTGTTAATTCTAATGCTTGGGATGTACCCTTTTCATCTCTCAGAATCCTTGCCTTCTTTCAAGGCCCAGCTCAGATGTATGAAATTGTTGTATTTTTGTTGTGCCTGGCCATAAGCCTAGTATGAGACCACCCTGTAACTCCATAGTTTCCTCATTGCCCTGGACTTTGGAAACCCATTTTGGCAAGTCAGCATGATGATGCCAAATGTAAGCCCACCCCACACCTGTATTCCACCTCTACTTTTGACCAATCACAATTCTAGTTTAGCATCACTGAACCTTATATAACCAATTGTATAAAAGACTGCTTCATCTGCTCTAATGCATCTCTGGCCACTGAGGGGCTTTGGGATCTCACTTATTGGCAGCTGCTAGACTCATGAATAAATGATCATGCTTGGACTTGGTGCCTCAGTTTCTCCTCATTGCAGATTTTTATCCCCACAGGTGCTACCTCCTCAATGAAACCTTCCCCATCTTGCCTCTTCCCCGTGACTTGAGGTATTAGTGAATCTCTCTCTCAATTTCTCCTGTACTATATTTATCAGTGGGAACTAACTTTTCTCCTGCTCCCTTCACAAACCTCCCTCAAACCTGCCCTTTATGTTAATTTGCGTGTCATTTCACCTGGATAAAAAAAGGTGAACATGGTTCTGAGGGGTTGGGGTGGGGGTAAGGAACACAGTGTAATTTTCCACAGGCCTATACTGCTCCCAGGGATGTCCCCAGCTGATTGGAAAGACCAATGAACTGGAAGTCAGAACAGTGAGGTTTGAGTCAATTCAATTGAACAAATGTTTATTAAATGCCTATTATGTTAATGGAATGCTACCGGGCTATAAGAAATGATGAGTAGGTTGATTTTAGAAAAACATGGAAAGACTTGCATGAAATAATGCAGTGAAATGAGTAGAACCAAGAACACTTTGTGCACGGTAGCAGCTGTGTTGTTTGAAGAATAACTGTGAATGACTAAGCTATTCTGAGTTATACAATCATTCCAATCAACTACAAAGGACCTTTGAAGGAATGCTATCCACCTCCAGAGAAAGAACTGGTATATGGAAGTATGTATTGTATGGTTTCATAAAAATGTGTCAAATGTTGGCTTTCTCTAATGCAGGGCTAAGAGAGAGGAACGGAGGGAGACAACTCAAAACTCAGAATGTAACAAAAATAAACATAAGATAAAATTTTTAAATGCCTATTACATGCAAGATTCTGTTAGGTGCTGGAGATTCAAAGACATAAATGAAACAGTAAATGTCTTCAAGGACCTTATATTCTACTGGTGTGTGTGTGTGTGTGTGTGTGCGCGTATGTGCGTGTGTGAGGGGACATACAAAATGTATACAAATAAGTGGAATTGAAGGAGAATTGAGGCAGAGACAGATCGAACAACCTGGGGAATCAGCTAAGGCTTCACAGAGGAGATGAAACCTGATCTGAGCCTTGACTGAAGACAAAGATTCCTTCCTTCCCCCCTTTCCTCCTTCCCTCCCTTCCTTTCGTCTCTCTCCCTCTCTCTCTCACTGTCTCTCCCTCTCCCTCTCTTTTCCTTTCAACTCGTAACAAAAGAAAGCACTTCCTCCAGTAATGCACATCCGTAACTATTCTGCAATTTCTACTCTTAGTTGTCTGAGGCACTAAGAGATTAAGTGACTGGCCCGGGGTCACAGCCAGTGGGTGTCAGGGGTGTCACTTACACCCAAGTTCTCTTGACCCAGAGACAAGGTGCTCCCTCCCTTTTGCCAGTGCATCATTATTAGTATTGCTAGTGATGATGATGACATCATAGGCCACTAGAGAGGAAGAGACCCTGTGTAATTTACTCCATGCATTCAAGCATTGTGACCCGAAATCAATACTTATTGATCCAATAGGTAATGCTGGACTTGCACATAGGAACCTTAGCTAGTTGTTGAATTGAATAAACATTAAACACTAAGGTAGCACCTTGGTGGCTCAATGGGAATCAGGAAGACTGGAGTTCAAATCCTGCCCTAGACACTTACTAGCTTTGTGACCCTGGGCAAGTCACTTAACTTTCTTATCTGTAAAATGAGGACAATAATCACACTTCTCTCCCAGGGTTGTTGTGAGGATAAAATGGGACAGCATTGGCAAAGCACTTTTCAAACTTTAAAGAGCTACAGAAATGCTA